GCCCACGATAGCGGTGTCTGACCATACCCGGTATCCCGTGTCTCAACATTGGCACCTCTTTCGAGTAACAGTCTCACAATCGTCTCATCGCCGTTTTCAGCGGCAAAAGATAGTGATGTCCGACCGGCCCCGTCTTCAGCTTCAATTTCGACTCTCCCCGACGCTAGCAGCAATCTCAAAACAGATGCGCGTCCGTCTCTGGCCGCTTTCAACAACAAGGTCCATCCATCCTCGTCCCGGCTGTCGGCATCGATTTCGTTTCGGGCGAGGAGGATTTTGATGACGGCTTCGTCGCCTCGTTCTACCGCCGATGACAGCATCTGCCTTCCGTTTCCCTGCCTCAGATCATTCTGGAAGTCGATTCGTGTAAGCAGTAGCCAGATATCCCCTGCTTGTCCCTGCTCTACCGCCCGCAAGAGCGTCGCCTGTCGTGCGCGATAGGTGCGGTGATGCATTTCTGCAGAGTGGATCATCACCAGTGACAGTTCCTTGTCATCCTCATACTCGCCGCCCGCCTTCCCCCCTCGCGACGTACGTCCTTTGCGAACCCACATCCTCCGCAGCGGACACTGCGACAGCCGAAGTTTCCTCAAATTAATTGGTTTGAGCTCCTCTCCGCAAACCCGCACAAACTGGGTCATGTTCAGGAGGGGATCTCGTAGGTAAATGCCGATAGGCTCGTCTTTGCCGCCCTTTTCCTTGCAGTTCAGGATGGCAAGGCCTATCCCCTTGGGGCTAATGCCAACGAAGCGGACTTCCAGATGGATGCCGCGGCCACTGACGGTCCAGGGGCTACTATCCAGGGTGCCGGGGGGCGCGAACTCGATAATGTTGCCCGAGTCGATGAACCAGTCTGGGGACGTGGCCAAGAGTCCCCCGCGTTGGTCCGGCGATCGCCAGGCAAAAAGGCTGTGATCATCCGATGTCTTCATGATTTCCTCCTGGAGTCGGATAAATGCGGTATCTCTCTCTCCGTAGATCAGTGGCATGTTGATGCCAAAGATTCCCAGCAGGCTGTAGGAACGGTCCTCCACTCTTGTCGTCTCTCTCCCTGCCGCCCATGACATCTTCTGCGCGACGCTGAAGGCGTCTAGATTCGCGTGTCCCGACAGCAAGATGAGCGGGATGCGGGTGCGGTCCGATATAGCCTGCCGGAGACTTTCTCGCGTGCCCAGCTCTTTCCAGACGTCATCGAAGAAGACCAAAGCAGGCGGTGCAATCAGCTCTTGGAGTGTCCACCCTCGAGTAAACCACCGGCTGTCTGTTAGTTTGGCCCAGGTCGGCACGTCGGCGAGGTAGGCAAGGCAAACGACAGCGTCCTGGTACCAGCGGTACATGGAATTGATGGCCTCGGAGAGCTCAGCGCTGCTGGTCTTGTCAATGCAGCAGGTGTCGATCCAAACGTAATCGAACCCTCTGTCTTTGGCGACGGTGCAACACGCGCGGATCTTTTTGTATCCTTTCTTATGTGTCCTATGGCCGTCTTCCATTTCGCGCAGCGTCACCTCGCCGTCGCCCCAGGTGTGGGAGAGGATGGCGTAGCGGGGGACATTGTCGTCGGCGAATTCGGAGAGCACCAGAGTGTGTGTGTTAAGGAGTCGCATTCTAGAGCTGCCATTCAATCAGAATGGGTGTTTGTTGGTGAATTATCTTTGCTGATAAAGAGGGGGGGGGGGGGATTGTTCAATTGTTGTGGGTTTCTACCTGGGCTGGGGCTGGGGCGGGGGTTTTGAATTGAACTTTGAAGGCCTCCAGCTGAGGCATCGCTGAAAAGCAGGGGTAGGAGCCCGCTTTTGGCTGCCTCAATCGGTACCAGCCTTTATTTCTTTATCGGCCTTGAAACTGTATTCGAAGCCATGACTTTCAAGAACAGCGGTGAATTGGATTTGTTAATACCTATATAGTCTGGCATGTGTATGTGGTACTGCCAAGTATTTCAGTAGCTCCAACGGTGGACTCACACGTATCCCAGACTGTGTTTCCCAAGTTTGGTGGTGATCAGCCAAAGGAGAGTGAGTGACTGGAAACCTGGAGATTGTGCAGACTGGTAATTCTCAAGGTAAATGAGTGATAATGGATACCTAGTAACTGGTGCTGCAGTGGCTTATGTGCGCCGTGCCGGGGAAGTAAAGATACCTTGGGTCGATAGTAGAAGCTGATTCTTTGCTAGTATCATGTCCTAACGAGAGGAGAAAGTCCTCAGCATACTCCTCGTACTCTCTCATAAAGTCCTCCAAATGGAACTTGTTCTCCAGGTTTCTCTGCTCCAGTATGGTTTGCCCGGCACCCATATAAACCTCCTTGAATGCCGCGTAAACCTCAGGACTCTTCTATAGTGAGGGATAAAGAGTTGATTGTCCCCAGTCACCATGGCACCCTTGAAAGCCTGGTATACATCATCCACGTCGTCAGAGAAGTTCACCCTGTCACACTGACCGAAATCGAGTAGAAAAAGCCCGATAGGCCAATACTGCAAGTCGAGCGTCCCATCACCTCTGCCCCGAGTTGCAGACGAGCCCAGCACAAATTCAACATCGTCGCCGTTCACACCCGCACCCCAGGGCATAATGACGAATGCTTTACCCATTGCAGAAGCAATTCCCATGACATCCAACCCCAGCTGCTGCATTGGCTGGAGCTAGAAGGGAAAGTTGTGGAGGGAGATTTTTCTTGGCAAAGACACCAGTATTTTTGCCGAGATAGGTTCGCGCGAGGCAATGTTTGTTCGGCGTGTCATTTAGGAGGAGGTCGAAGGTCGCCGGATCAGGAGAGTCGGTATCGTGCGGGTAGAAGAAAGCGATTAATGCCTTTCCGACAATCTTGGGCAGGGGGAGAAGCGTTCCATCGGAACCATATGACCCCGAGTACGATATGCCACTGGGAATTTCTCGAGCATCTGGGTCCAGTATGCGTCGTCGTCGGCCCGATTAACTCCCAGAAGGTTATGCACCCGCACATCGCTCTTGATCGTGTCGTCAAAACGTTTAAATGCCTCGGCGACAAGACGATGGAGAGAGTACTCGTGGCCGAGGTTGGTCAGACGGTCTTGAAGTACCATTGGCATCCTTGACCTTCCCGCAGACATCCTCATCGAAAATATTTGGCTACTTCAAGCCGGGAGTAGTAACGCTTACCCAAGGTAATAGTGTCTTCAGAGTGTTCAGCATCTACCTGAAGCGCTATGATGATCCGATTCGCCACCAAACAATCGAGAACGCACGCCTGGTGTGCCGTCTCTTCTGCGAGATTGCATCGAGGCACCTGTTTCCCGTCGTCCAGGTGCATCTCAACCAGCCATCCCTCGATCGACTCGATGCGATTTCTCGGAATCCTCACATTGCCGTAGGTATTCAGGGCGTGGAGCTCATACTGGACTATTGTCCGAAAGAACTCGCTCAAGACCTGGGACGATTCAGAGCCCATTGCCTGAAGGGTCTGGGGGACCACGAAGAAACCTGTTCCTGGTACCTCGAGGGTATTTTGCTGGGTCACGAGGCTCAGCAGGAACAGGAGGGGCGTGTGGCCAGCTTTAAGGACCCCATCATAATCGACAGCGAGTACCACCAAGGGGAGTTGAACTATGGCTCCATTAGCGATGCATGGGACAGGGTTGGACAGTCGGCGGCCAAGGTCTCGGTCCTCGCTGATGAGGCTACTGAATACCAGCGTATCCTTCTTCGAGTCTACGACGAGCTTGGCCGAAAGCATGAGGAGCAGGCTCGTCTGATCGCTGATGGCACCTTCGCGACATGGTTGCGTCGGCCATGTTGCGTTTACGACCTTCTATACCCCTGCGCTTCTTCGGCGAGTTCCATCGATTTTGATGGAAAAGCCGCGGTACGTGTGTTGAACACCAAAGATGGCCTATTCCAGTTCGCCATCACACCGCTGAAATGGGAAGAGATCGAGTTGTTGGAGGGAGGAGCCGAGCTTCTTCCCGCTCGACTTCTCTCGACCTTACCGACTGCTATGCACAGGGCAGGACGAGATCTGCGACACTCTCAGATCTGCTGCTTTCCGCTCCGTTCCAATCACTCGGCTCTATGTCCCAGTGATGTCCCTACGGACTCGGCCTGGGACGGTCTCGTAGCCGCGTTCCAACAGCTTGCATCATTTTGGTTCGGACATCATGGCTCCTTGAGCGTCAGGGGTCTCCGACCCGAACATCTCCCAGCCGACCAACAAGCTTTTATAGACAGGTACCTCAGCGCAGTCTTGTCTGGCCACCGGCTCGAGGCAATTGATCTTGACTTCCATTCCTTTGCGCTCCACGACGGTGAAAAGCGTGATGGACTCTACTACCGTGTTGACGCAGCCCTTGGCACACCGGACTGGCCCCGTATCAAGATACTGTCCATCGCGAAGATCTCGCTGCACCAGGCTGCGCTGGACAAGTTGTGTGCCGGGGTTGGCAACGGACTGGAACACATGAGGATGCGCGATGTAGATATGTTGAGTGGTGAATGGGCAGCCGCACTGGACATGTTGCGCAACAGGATGGTGGGTCGATGTCGCGACGGGAGGTGTCGATTCATCCTCTCTGGTGCTTTCGGGGCGAATTTGGAGCGAAGGATTTCAAAAATATAGAGAATAATCGGATCCTTGCTCGTACTCATGCGCCTCCACGGCCAAAGACACCGGAACTTGTCCCTCAAGTGGTGGATTATGTAAAGGGGATAGATACTGAGGATAATCCTCTCCGCGGCTAGCAACAGCGGGACCCCCTTTTGACTCTTTTGTCACATTATTATATTACAGGACAGGCTTATATAGAAACCAGGTACCTAGACTCATTAGTATAAATTGAAGGTACTAACTAACAACCATGTCATACATGCATTTCATGCTAAACGCCTCTGTGATCACACAATAAAGTGCCAACCATACCAAATATTCTCAGGGCTCGGGGTATCTTCAAGGTGTTATTGACGCCTGAAAATTCCGCGCCGCCAAAAAACAAACTGGCAATCAATCATACAGTCAGTCAATCGGCAAAATGTAGGTCGTACCCGGAATCGAACCGGGGTCACCAGAATCATTGAGAGAATCAGAATCTGGGGTGATAACCGCTACACTATACAACCTTGTTGTCTGCGAGTCATGTTCATCGGTGTTGCCAAATGTGCATATCAAACTAGGTACCTAGCCATTGGGCTATTGGTACCAGCTGGTGGAGTGGTGTCGAGTCATGCAGCAGCAGTCTCTAAACCTTGGCTGGATCTTCTCTTGCGCGGAAGACCAAGTACGGCCCATGGTGCTGAGAGGTAAAGATATCGTACAGCTGAAACTCGCCGGGCTTGTCCCTCCCATCCGTTGCACCCGGGGTCCCCCCTCCCACCTTTCCCAGCTTTCCCGGAGCGGTCTCAAAATCAAAGAGCCAAAGTGTCTTGGCAGGCACAAAACTCAGCCCCAGGTACGCCATCGCCTTTCCGGCGCACGATCTTGCACCGATCGAAAAAGCCGCGAAGCCTTCGAGTGCTGCTCGTTTCCGTGCTTCTTGGTTCCCCGGCTCGTCCAGCCAGCGCTCGGGCCGGAAGGTAAACGGCTCCGGGAAGTAAGCCTCGTTATAGTGCAGCGCGTACGTGTTGACTCCAAAGGTGATGCCGCGGGGAATTGCGTGGCAGTCGATAACGAGGGGCTCCTTGTCCTTTGGGTCCTGGACTCGCCACAGCGTTATCGACGACGGCGGCGACATGCGCAAGGCCTCGTCGATGCATGCCCGGAGATATGTGCAGCTGGCGAGCTTTGGGCCGCCTTTGATGTCAGCAGCGCTCGAAAACGTCGACCTGATCTCGCCTTCGAGTCGGCGATAGCATTTGCGGGTTGCGACTGAGGTAGAAGAAGAGGGCCGACATGCCAGTGACGACCGTGTCACCGCCTGTTTGAATCACTTCAAGTTAGCAACACTGGTAATGGGTACTTACCAAGACTCATCAGCAGTCAGAGGGGGAGCTGACAGACCTGCAGTAAGAAAAGACCAAGCCTCGGCCGAGAGCTCTCCGCTTCGTGGACTTTTGATGCTTGTATCTGTGCCCATCTCACCGGCCACGTCTGAGTAGAAATCCGCCTTTGCATGCCTGCCCAGCTTGGCGCGTGCTTTGATCATGCTCTCCAGCAGCCGGAAGAACTTCTCGCGAACCTCGTAAAAGACCCAGTCAAAGATGGCATCAATCGACACCTTTCTCAGGATGGGATAGTGCATGTAGATGTTCCCGCGATAATCCCTAAACTGCATCCCCTTCACGATGAACCGGTTGGCCTCTTTCTTCTGCATCTCCAGGTCTGAACCAAACGCAAGTTGGCCGACAATGTCCAGGCTGAGACGGCTGGACCGCTCTGTCATATTCACAGGCTCGGAGTTTTTCGAAGAGGTCAATATCTGCTCCAGGTAGATGTCTATCTGCTCGGCCATGGTGGGCTCAAACGACCGCATCGCACGTTCCGAGGTGACTTGGCTGACCCTTTTGCGTTTCTGGCGATGCATGTCGTTATCAAGGGCAGTGAATACGTTGAAGATGCTCTGGGATGCTGCGGCCAGGTAGGCATCAGACTTGGTGATCCGATCATTGAGATAGATGTCATTCCATCTCAATTCGCTGTTTAGCTCTAGACTTGACATTGAAGTTGACTTGGGATGGGGCTATGGGGCTCACCTCGTAAAGCGGTAGCAGTGTTAAAAACAAGCCTGCTCGGCCCAAGCCTGATCACTCGTCCATATTTGTTGTGGTTCTGTAGAATGACCAAATGAAGTCGCTTCTGGAACGCCTACCAGGCCGAGTATCCGAGTGTCAGCTTGGCAGCGAATGGCCCCGGATAACCGCGAAGAGGGTGGAGGATGATCCTGTAACCTGCGACAAGAAAAATCTTCGCGCGAGTTATCAGTACAAACACACAATGCAGGAGGGGTGAAAATATGTGATAGATGGGTCTTGCCCTACAGCGGAAATCAATGCGCAGGCGGCATACATTGCGCCATTTTTAAGATCAGCTTCATGTTGAAGCGACATCGTTCTGTTCGGTCAACAGTCGTGGCTAGGTACTTGGGTAGATCAGAGACAGGATGGCAGCAGCAGCACGAAATAGTCACGAAAGGTAACAAGGGAGCGAGAGCATGGAACACCGGAGAATGGGAGGGGAATGTTATACTAATTAGAATGGTCAAGCCTTTGAACTTGGTCCATCCCTTTGGAGCCCAGCTGACGTTCCCTTCCTTCTACAGACACACATACGAGCAGTCGAAACTCTAGATCCCTACCCTAAGTTTGTTTGTTAGTACGAGACTTCCACCCTGGTGATGCGGTTAGTATGACTGCATGTCTGGGCCACTCGGATGTTACCTTGATGATTAGGTCAGACGTAAACGTCGAGAGATGTATCCTTCTATGGTAAGAAGTATATGCCTTCCCCGCTTCCCCTGGGATATTGTTGGTTTTAAACGCCCCTGATGAGTGTAATATCTGATTTCTCTCCAGTCCGGGACCGGTATTTCCAGAGATAAGCATTTCTGGGAAGTTGACTATCATGCAGGGCGGACGCACAGGCTGCCAACCATCCTGCAGGACATTGTTGATGGTTATCGAGTCTGGCTTCAGACAGTGGCGGTGCTGGTGCTACACTGGGGATTTGTGCGGAATGTATTGTGAGCCACAAAACCAGGCACGATAAACGGCGTTCATTCCTACCAATCAGGCGAGAAGAGTGTTCGGCAACAGTGCATCAGGTGGGAGGCCTACAACTGCCGCCACTGAAACGTATCCAGCGTCAACCGAAGCGGCCATAATATTCAGCCATATTATGCCCAGTAGTTAAAGGAGAAAGAAAGTTGGTTTTATACACAACGATCATACGTATTTGCTCTATTATGTCAGATCCACTCGGTACGACCTCCTCACCAAGCAGAAGCTACTTGGTGCCCGATATCGCAAGGCTACGCGTCGTCCTTCTTTAGCCATGGTTTGGAATATGAGTTCTCAGGAGCAGGGGCAGTGGCTGACTGTCGGGAAGAAGCAAGCTGAATCTGATGCACGGTTCCGGACGCCTCATGCATCTCAGCCGCAAGAATGTCCTCAGAACACGCGTTTGCCCACCATCTTGGATCGAACCTGAACGAGTCTCACAATCATGACTGGCTTCAGTTTCCTTCTAGCTCAAGGCATCCATGCGCAAGCGCCCGTGGCGTTGATCAGGCTCAGGAATTGTAGCGTCCACTCTCATTGTCTGCGATGTACGTCTATATGGGGTGGTCAGCGTGGTTCGCCACAGCCTTACCTACTGCATATCCAGTGTTCAGACTTCGGACTCCTTTAACTCTGCTCAGAATCTAACAGTTATAACTTCCCGTGCTTATCAACCCAATGGAGTTACAAGCAACCAGTTCTCTCACCCGTCGCCCGCCATGTACTGGACAAGTTTTATTTGGTTTGCCAGCGCCGTCGCGCCCTTTGCCTCTTACGGTTCCGCTAAATACGTCGACAAGTTTGATCAATGCCGTGACAAGGTTCTCGGTATTATTAGTGGCAATGATACGCTTGGAGACATTAACAATGACACTATCTGGGAACGTTCTTATATCTACACTGGCACTGTTCAGGGACTTGATCCCAGGTTCGCACGCGAGGATATTTTAAGTCTGACATATAATGGTAAGTTCTCTGACTACTATACATACTGACTGGGTCTTAAAAAAATAACCATTAACCACCTCAAGTATGCACGCGAAGGCTGCATTGCAATGTGCGGTGCAGATGCACAGTTGCAAGAGCCGCGGACCGCTCTCTCGATGGTCGCCACGTGGATCTTTCCACTGGCTATTGTTCTCAGTCTGCCGTATGAAGCATTACACGGTGATCAAAAGTTTCTCTGAACAGTATCTGCAATTCTCAACTGGATTGGTTCGCCCCAGACGGCCCTCTCGGCAACGATTTACAACTTTCGCCAGATAAGACAGGCACACAGACAGGCCGGGCTACTTAGCGGAGGAGAGCTTTACTCATCATGGAATAATGCGCTCTACGTTTTGTCTTGTCTCAATCAGTTTGATATTATCGATCCATCGGACGAAGTTCACCACAAAGAGTTCCTCGCAACGCTACTTTACGGCCTGTTCCGGCCAGTCGTTCACAGAAATAACGACGGCCCCGAGGATGGAGAGCTGACTAGTCAACTACTGTCACATCTGGCATTTCAACTGCGCATGCTACGGCGCCGTGCCGTTATTCCCACGCTGGCGAGTCTGGCCACCTTTCTGGTTGCCTTTATCTTCTCTGTCGTCCTCTTGTTTGCTGAAGTTGGCGACAGTTCTACCGTGGACCCCCTTATACTTGGTCTTTTGTTCAGTTGGTTGCCAATGCTGGTCATCTTCACAATTGTCGACCGCAATCCGGTCTCTTCACGGCACACAGGGTTAGTGTGGTTCCTACAGTTCTCCCCAAAAGACGGCCAAAATTACTAACACAAAACCCTGCAGGGTTCTCATCACAAGGTGGCTGTACAACGTAAATGAAGTCTTATCTTGGAGAGCGACCAGGGCGGAGGATGCTGCCACTATACAATGGTGGCCTCCAGCACCACCGCCAAAATATAACCGACCACGCGCGGAGCATGTCCCAGAACCAGATGCGGAACAGAATGTTCTTCTTCATAATGGGCCGAGATTCGTGATGCAGGAGCAGCCCCAATAGTGCCTGTGCGGGCCGACAAGTTTCAAATCAAGCGGTTCATTGGCCAGGGCAGGTCAATACAGTACGCCGGTCTGTCCTATGCCGTTATGAAGGAAATCCCCCCCAAAGAACGGCCGCTTAAAGACTTTCCCACCCACTACGAAAAGTTCGCCGAGAGGGTGCATAAGAGGCTCAAGGGATATCTCCCGATCTCGTGGTTCACTACAGTCATGATTTCCGAAGGCTTGGTTATGACTGAGGTCATGTTGGCCTTCATGCTCGCTTTCAATACACCGACAGTAGGCCTCGGCTGTTGGTCCGGAAGCTGTGGAATTTATGCCATCCTTAGTTCTTTATGTTGGATCCTTGCCATGTGCTTCCGGAAGCCAGGGCTGGTCGTGACTTGCCTCTTCCATGCCTTCAAC